AACGAAGGCAAAGCCGGTTGGATGGTGGAGAAATCATCCCGCTGAGGAGCGGCTGAGCTCAGCCGGTCCCGCCGGGCTGGTTTTTTGGGTGAAACCCCTCCGGGCTGCGGCGGGTTGAAACGAGCAGCCACGTTGTGATGGGTCTGCACCTTACAAAACTTTCCCCGAGCGGCTCTCCGGCCTCGCTGAGCCCAGGCCCTGTCTGCCCGAGGGTCTTTGGAGCCCGAGCCTGAATCCCCAGCCACCGAGACCCTTCGTTAGGGCTTTAACGGGGCAGCCTCACTGAATCAAAGGCGTCCCTTCCCGCTCGGACGCGACCGGGAATCCTGAAACGAAGCGCAGCGGGAGGACGGGGGACGATGAGGGTCGCTGAGCCCTTCGGGCTGCCGCTTACCCCGTTTTTTGCAGCTTCGGTTTCTCCGCGAGGTCATTTCTCGCTTTTGGGGGTCTTCCGGAAGAAAGGAGCGTGGGGTTTTTTTTTGGTTCCTTTAACATCCAAAGGCGTCTTGGAGGAGTTGCTGCCGCACGTGGCTGCGTCTCGCCTCGTCCTCCCTCGCTGGGAGCTCTCCGGAGCCGTGGCTGATATGTTGGCAGCTCCCATCGGAGTTGGCACCCTTTGAGCCCCTGGAGATTTTTGGGGAAGGTTTGGTAGCCAGGAGGAGACTCGGGGAGATTTGAGGAGGGGAAGGACAGCGATGGTGTGTCTCGTCCCCGTGGTGGGTTGTCGGAGTGTGGCCGGCAGCGCCGTTTGCTCTTGGGTCAGCTCGGTCCATTTTTCCCCTTTCCTTTGCTGTGGGAAAGACGCTGCAAATACTCGAGGAGGCAGAAAAATTAATTTCTAAAGGGCAGAGCTGTTTGCGAAGGGCAGAGGGAGCGTCTTGGGAGGGCAGCGAGGTAGAAGCGGTTGATTTTTTTGGAAATGCCAAAGCTTATTCAGTGCAGGGAGTCGGGTAGTGGTTTTGTCGTCGGCTTAAGCTGATCTAGGACCGCGTCGAACAGCCTGCGCTTGGTGACTGTGGACGTTCCCCGAGCCGAGTGGGGCAGGATTTTGGGCTTTCTAATTAAAAGTGGCTTCCAGAACGAGCACTTACGGGAAGCAGAAGGGAAATGGTCTGAAGTCTGGGCAGGAGGTTTTGTTCTCAGCCCTGCCGTGGAGTTAGGGACCGAAAGAGGAGAGGAAGGAGGGGATTGCCGGAGCCAGGGATGCCTGAGATGCGTTTCTCTCCCTCAGAACAAGCTCCAGAGCCACCTGGAGCCACTGAAGAAGAAGCTGGACGCGGTCCTGAAGCAGAAATCCAATGAGGAGGAGAAAATCACGGAGCTGAGGGTAAGAGCCGGCGGCTCCCGGCACAGCGGATGATCCTGCGCGCGATTCCCTTCCCCGCTTCTTCATTTCCCGTTTCTCTGTTTTCCGCCCTTTTTTCCCCCCCTGCCAAAAAATAATCAGCCCTCGGCGAAGGCGGACGCCGAAACACCGGCGCTGGGAGCATTTCTTGGCCCGCAGTCTGGTGAGGGGGATGAGCCAGGAAGCGTTTCCCCCTCTGCCTTGCCGATTTGAGCTCTCACGGAGGCGTTGCGGCCCCTCTGCTGCAATCGTTGGGACCGCGAGGGCTGGAAGCCGATTCCCTGCTGAATTAGAGCTTGATTAAGGAGGTTTTGTGCCCGAACGTGTTGTGGGAATTGGTAGCCTGGGAGAGAGAACAAATTGACGTCCTTTGGGGCTGCCATTTGAGCTAAGGATGCCTTTCCTGTCTCTTCCCCCGCTCCGCAGGATAAAATGAAGCTGGAGATCAAAGAATTCGAGTCGGACTTCGAGGTGCTGCACCAGTTCCTCATCGGGGAGCAGGTCCTGCTCTTACACCAGCTGGAAGAACGCTACGAGAGCTTGTTGGCCCGTCAGAGCAGCAACATCAGCCAGCTGGAAGAGCAGAGCGCTGCCCTCAGCCGGCTCATCGCCGAGGCGGAGGATAAGAGCAAACAAGACGGGCTGCAACTTCTCAAGGTCTTGGTTTTGGTGGTTTTTGTGGGGTTTGTGGGTTTTTTTTTTTTTCCTTCCTGGGATGGGAAGAGGGAAAGTTGCGATTGGGGATCACATGAGGAGGGCAGAGCCCTGCTGCCGTGTACCGGGCAAAGCTTCTTCCCAGATGTTTTTGAACCTTCCCCGAAGAGTTTTAAACTCGGACGATGCGCGTAGTTGATCTCTGGACCGTGAACCCTCGCTCAGCGCTGCGCCGGCAGCTGTAGGAACTCTGGCCCCGCTTTATGGCGAGGAGATAACGTTAGCGGTGGGAATTAAGCAGAGCTGCCGAGAGGGGAGTGGACCTTGCTTCCAAAAAGGTCATTTTCACGGGAGGACGTCCTTACCTGGTGGGCTAAATCCTTCCCCATCCCTCCTGTCAGGGATCCCGCAATATCTGCAGGATCCCGCAATATCTGCAGGATCAGAGCGGGGGGAAAAATGAGAAGAGAAGGGGACGCCCCAAGAGATTGGGGGTTTTTTAGGGTGCCTGTATCAGGGGGAAAAGCCTCTACCAAGGGGTGAATCCACGGGATACGTCTCTCCGTGGGATATTCCCGTCTCCTGACCGTGGGAGGGGACTCATCCTGTTCGTTGGGGTGGTTGGCTCGTTGCAGCTCAGCACGGTGCTGAGCCGTGGGTGCTAAGAGGATTTAGTGTGAGCCACGGTGGGATCTGCCTCCTAATCTTTTTTTTTTTTTCTTTCTCTTTCTCCCCACTTCCCACCCGGCTGCTTCCTTTTGCAGGACATCAAAGGCACTTTTATCAGGTCAGTGATTTTTCCGGTGGCGGCATCTCGCTGTAAATAGCTTTTGTATGGGGGAGGGAAAAAAAAAAACCAACAACCACCCACGAGTTTTTGTTTTAAACCCCGTGCGGTGGGCGCTTTTCCAGGCTGGGGTTGGATAAAGCGAGGGAAAGCTCAGCTGTGCCGATGGTAGGAACCTCCCAGCTGATGGCCCGGTGGGGAATAAATGGGATTTTTGGGGATGACTGGGGATATACAGGAGAGGAAAAAGGCAGGGAAGAGATCTCGGAATCCCTCGCAGCAACCTGGCAGCCGCTTTTTGGGAGCGGAGCTGGGTCTGCCTGTGCAGACCTCATGCCCCGGCGAGGCAGACGCTGCTGGTAAGTCTGGAGGGATCATTTTTTAATTTTTTTGCGCCCCATCTTGAAATCGGACAAGCAGCCGCTCTTCTAAATCGGCCCCCAGCCGCTGGCCGGCAGGTAACGGAGCCGTGTCGGAGCACGGCCTGGCTGTTGCCGGTGCTACGTGGATGCGGCTCCATCCCTGCCCGAGATTCGGCCGCTTCCTGCGGCCGAGACAGGGTGGGGACCGCCCGCCGTACCAGCGTAACCGGTTCTGCCCCGTTCTGGGTTTTTTTTTGGCTGTGCGCAGGGCATCTCGTTTCTCCTGTTGTGTCTTTACTCCGAGCACGCCGAAACCTTTGCTTTTTTTTCCCCCTCCCCTGCCGGCAGATGCGAGAACATCAAATTCCAGGAGCCCGAGATGGTGCCGGTGGACGTGGGGAAAAAATTTCGCAACTACTTTCTGCAGGACGTGGTGATGAGGAAGATGGAGAAAGTCTTCAGTAAAGTCCCTCAAGGTGAGCGAGACACGGTTCCTCTGCCTGAGGGGACACGCTGGGCCTTCGCCACCCTCCCAGCCTGGGATCTCTTCTGTACCCCCAACCTTGTTGGGGTTCCCCCTCCAGCTCCGCCTTCCCAGGATTTTCACCCCTTTTTTCTGCCAGTCCCCTCAATACCGGCCTCTTCTCTCCTTCCTCCCCGCGCTTTGCTCCATCCTTTGATCTGGCTTCTCCCCTAAAATGGCTGCCAGATCCAGAGTCCCCGACAGCTCTGTACGGGGCTGGGATGGGACTCGTCTCGGAGCTGCAAGAAACGTAGAGTTGGGAGAGCTAAATTTAACTCCCCCAGCCAAAACCAGTTAAAACCCATGGTGGGGGCTGTTGGTCACGATTAGCTGCTTGTGCTGCAACTACGCACGTGGGCGAGGATTTGGGGTTGGGAAGTAAAAGGAGGGGAAAAATCATCGAATCGTTGAGGTTGGAAAAGACCTTCAAGATCATCAAGTCCAACCATCAACCCAACGCTACCAAGTCCAGCACTAAACCAATTAAGGGGAGAGTATAAATAATTTCATGTTTCTTGGCTTGGTGGCTGGATTATTTTTTAAAATCTTGGGATTGGGAACTA